GTGGCATGTTATACTACTTTTTTTTTGATTGATTGTTCATATAATTAAAGAATCATAATGTTTGCTTTTATTAGGTAAGTGGATTGACTACTGTGGAGCTTAATGTCAACATGCATTGTGAGGCTTGCGCCGAGCAACTTAAAAAAAAGATTCTCAGAATGAAAGGTAACCATGTTATTCAAAACTTTTAACTAGTTAACGATTGGGATCCATCATCAATAACACTAACGTTATTAGATTTTCGGGTGGTAATGAGGAAATCATATTCACACAGCACAGTGAAATGAATAATTAGTTAGTTATTCTTTTATCATGCGTTTTGCTTCACTTTATTTTTTCAACACGAAAAATACTAAGCAAGAGCAAGCCATAGAATGTCAACATAAAGCTTCTAAGAGTAAAATTTATCCATATCAAATGTTTAGATATAACCTTATCAATCAGTTAATATGAAGTAAAGTACAAATCATTTAATCAAGGTTGAGTAAAACCATTTTATATTCAAATAAATACCATATATATATATATACACACACTAGGATAAAAATAAGTTTTTACCTAGAGAGATGGTGAGTTATTCCCCTCTGTCCCCATATTTTAGGTGGTGGTGGGACAATGGGCAGGTGCACAAATGTTATCCATATATATAAAGTTGCAACAGCATTTACAAATTATTTGAATAATTTGCACATAATTAATAGCCTGAAAAACATGATAAGAAATCTCAGAAATGATGGGTAATTAATTGCTTAAAGTCTGTCGATTGACCGTGTAAAATCAGAACTATTCTCTTTGACCAAATAGAATTTAGCGATTCTGGATTTATTCCTTACTAAACCTATTATTCTGTCCGCCATAAATTAAGTATTACTATAATTTAATGATACGATAATATTTATTTAATTAACACACAATAATATTAAATTAATTAGTGTTTGTACATCTTGTTGAATTTAGGTGTTAGAAGTGCGGAAACAGAAGCCAGCACTGGCAAAGTAACGGTGACGGGCACTATGGACGCTAACAAACTCGTCGACTACGTCTATCGACGCACCAAAAAACAAGCCAAAATTGTCCCTCAGCCCGAACCTGAGCCCGAAAAGCCCGTTGAAGAGACCAAGCCCGACGAGGCGAAGCCCGTTGAAGAACCAACGCCCGAAGATAAGAAAGATGAAGGTACACCCCCGACTGAAAATAAAGAAGGGGGCGATGGTGAAAAACCACCGGAGGGAGAAAAAAACGAAGGCGGTGGTGGAGGAGAAGCGATGATCATTCCAATTGAAGATCATTATGATGAACATACGATTAATAAGTTGATGTACTATCATCCTTATCAGCCACTTTACGTCATTGAAAGAATTCCACCTCCGCAGTTATTCTCAGATGAAAATCCCAATGCATGTTGCATTACATAATTAATAAATAAACATGCTATCAATTATAGTACGTACTTGATTAATCAATCCTCACACTAAGTTTTTATGATATTGTGAAACGATGATTAATTTAAAACGTAGGAGTATTGAATTTGATTTGTTGCTTGGATGGTCATGTGAAGGGGATTATTCTATCTCTAGATGAATAATGATAAATACAAATGTTTATCGTGTAATATATATCTAATCTGAATATGTTATTTCAAGAGTAGATATAAAAATGTTACATCATTATTGTTTGTTGTGTATAAATATTATTTACCATCTTTGATAATGTTACGATATGATATTTTATTTAATGTTAATTACGCAGAGTTGTCTATCTTAGATGATTCTTAGATGTTTATATTTTATTATATGCTTGTTCGATTATATACGACGAAACTTATATTGATATAAGCACTTTTAATTTGCAACTGATTTATAAATATGATTTAAGTATGTTCACACATATGATTGTAGTTTATCACATATAAATTACAATCATATATGATAAAATTAGAGATACCATAAAAGCAGTCTCGAAACAAAAACACTTTGTAATGAAGCCACTGTGAAAACAATTGGAAAAAATTTTATGGTTTCTCCGTTTGACAAAGTATGACCTGGTTTAATTTGGCACGGAGTTTAAAAATATAAAGGAGACTTTTGAATCTTATAACCCTAATTTAAAGTTAGATGAAATGTACAAAACTGCCTGTTGATCTTGTGGCTTAAAAGTGTGACGAGGAAAGTTGAAATTAAAATATTACCAAAAGAAGGAAGAAGTCATTTTTTTTAAACAAACCAAAAAGGAAAGGAGATCAATTCCAGTAATTTTTAGACCTCAATTTAAGAGGACATTTTCCCATAAAAATAGGAAAATTAAACACTTTATTTTATAAAATTAAAGTTGTGTTCGGCCATATTTTTATAACAAATATTTAAAATTAAGAAGTACATTTATTTTTTTTTAAAAAAAGTAAAATATCATTTTAAAAAGTTTATTTTATATATAAAAAAAAAGATAAATTTGTAGATGAAAATCTTCTAAAAGTGAAAACAAAGGTTTTGATCCGAAACTCAAAGTACAACAAAAATTTTATGGCTCATTGTTGAATTTCCAATAAAATCCCAAAAAAGTGAAATGTTTTGATGTTTAATTATAAAAATTTCTTTTTTTTTTAAGTGTCTTTAACAAAATGCCTCTTTTTATTATTAGCAAAAAAAATTTAATTTCAAAATTCATTTATAATAATAAAATTTCTCCTATCAATCTTAATTTGTATTCTCAAACTTAATAAACACTCAATTACATCCAACAAATTGAGAAGGAGCCATGACCACTCCTAAAAATACAAATTGAGACATAATGCGTGTTAGAAAGTGTTCGATAGTAGATTCTACTTTTTCCCTCTACACAGACAAATGCATGGGTTCCACGTGGTTCGGTCCCACCGTTTGGGATTTACGCAGATCTGAGTCAGCTACCGACTTGGAAGTTATACTTTTTAATATTGTGATTCTAAATTAAAGTTATATTAAAAAACGTGTTTTGTAATGTTAAAATTAAAATTTTATCAAAAAAGGAAATGAATCACAGACTAAAAAATAAATAAAGTCATTTTTAAAAAACAGGAGAGTTTCATAGCAAAAGAGTGGGCCCGTGGGACCCTTTTGTAACGTGGGAGTGGCCCACTTTTCCTCTCAAAATACGTTCATCTCCTTTTGTCTCCATAAATTTCATTTCTCCGCACTCCATTGTGTCGCTTGTAGCGACAATCCACGTTTAGCATTGGAATAGTCTATATTGGGGTTTTGATAGGATTGGAGCGATAATTAAAGATTTCAAATTTATATTTCTGTTTCAATAAATAATTAAGAAAGTCAAAAATCGTAAAACAACCTTTTTAACATTGTTTCTAAATGGAGTGACGGACTCAATTAAGAAGTATCTATGTTATCACAATCAGTGGGTAGAATTATTGCTGATCAAGATGATGATAGGGAATGTCGTTTAACTCTTATTTGATGAAAAGAAAGAACATGCTTTATTAACTCGAAATCTTGTCACTATACATCCTCTTTGTCATTGTCATTAAATTCTATTTAAGCAGGGGTTAGTTGTCCTGTTGTGTTTCTATTCAAATATTGCTGCTATACTTTAAAATAAAAATGCTAGGGCATGCAGCACAAATAGAGCAATTAATAGGCTTTACTTTTGTCGTGAGCCCATGTTCGCATGCTGTCTACGGTAGCTACTGCATGCATCCAAGTATCTTTTGGCCGTTTAATTTCAATAACAATATCTAGTATAATTTTATAAGTGAGTTTTTCGAGAGGGAGATGTGCGGATAAACATTACACTTTTATCAATTAATTTTTTAGTACATTAATTTTATGGTGTAACATGTTTTAATTAATGCCTATTTTTATGCTTGATGGCGCACTTGATGTTCAAATTAAAACAATATATACATTTGGATAGTTAAAGCTGGTTTAATTTGGAGTAAGTTTAAAACTATCTAAAATAAATCAATTCAAACGAATTTAAAAATCGGCGTAATAAGTGCAGCCTTATTCCTTAAACTTTAGGTTCACTGAAGAATATATGTATAGGATAAGATTACTTTGGCGTCATCTAAGACCATGAGCTACGTAAAAGTGCGACCACCTTTTCCATGACAGTAAAAGGAATCACGACAATTCTTTTAGGTTTATCACCATTTGACACTACAGAAAAAATTTTCCTTCAATCTCCCTATTACTTTAGGTTTTTGATTTGGACGTAAATTCAAAATTTGAATTTAAGATTTTATAAATGATCTATTTAATTTATCAAATTCGATATTACTTATATACTTATTTAGTGAATTTGTAATACAAATCATTATAACGAGTCAAAATTATTGAGTTTGAAAGAATTCAAAAATTACCCACTCTAAGTCCGCCTTGCTTCAACCAGGGGAGGACTTAAAATTTAAATTGTAAATCCATCTCAAACGTGTCCAATAAATAGTAAGTAATAAACTCACGACCTTACATATATAATGGGCTCAATATTAATAACCCTAGTACTAAATACATCTAATTTATGAATCCGTCTCAAACTCTTGCAAAGCTTATAAATATAATGGGATCAATATTAGAAATTATATGACTAAATTGTGTTACTGCCTCAATTCCAACCACATTTTTTTTTATACAAGAGATTAAAGAGTAGTTCAACTATCCTAACTTCACACTGCAAAAAGCCAAATGGGCCGGGTATCAGAACTAGGAAGCATGAAGAAATATTAGTAAACTTTTGTAGAAAAGAAAAAAAAACAGTTGAAATCCTTAACAATATCCATTTCTTAGCATTTATAATAACTAAACTTACATGCTAAGCAATGCAGTGCACATGGGTTGTGAAAAAGAAACTTTATCGTTTGAATGATGACACTAATCTTTTTAAAAGAATTAAATAAAATTTCCTCTATGCAGTGAACCTTAGATTAGTAGATGCGACAATTTTTATGACTTTCAGCAGCAGTAGGATTAATTAATTTGTACTATAAAAAAAATTATGGATGAATTAAGCGAAAAGTAGAAAAGGGATGCTAGCTAACTTTTTAGAAAGAATCTTTTAGTATGTTGTCTGTTGCTTTTGATTTTAGATGGTGTCATCAATTTCATAATATTCTAAAATGTTAATTAGCACTATATATACAACGTAACTCATCATCAGCCCAAGTACTCAACTTAATGTGACACATACTGTATTAATAACACAATTATAGTTGCGTTGAGTATTCGAATTTGGGCATGGCTAACATGCAGATAGTCCCGGCAGGCAGAAATGTTAACGTAGAACCTCAGTATGTGGAAATGATGGTGCCACTCTACTCTTATGGTTGTGAGAGAAAAATCAACAATGCTCTTTCCCATATCAAAGGTAAAATTATTTTTATTTTAGCATGTGTATTGGGACACAACTTTCATGAAGTCATCAGATGTCTTGTTTTATTGGTTCTTGTATGTATTCAGTTAATTTGTAGAGATATAGGATGGTACATGAAGATATGTAAAAGGCCCAAGTCAATGGACCGATATGTTCCGACTGTAGATTTAAGCAATCAGGCCCAGGAAAACGGGCTTAGAGCCTGTTTGGCTCAGTTTAAAAGCTGGTCAAACTGACTTAAAAATTGGTTTTTGACTTATTTAGTTGTTTGACAATACTCAAAATAACATATTTTAAGTTAAAAAAAACTTATTTTAAACCAAAAGTTAAAAGTTGGGTAAGGGTGCTTTTCTTTTTTTAGCTTAGCATTTTTATCTTTTTGCCCTTAATATTTTTATACAATTTCCAAATTACCCACATAACCCTAACATCTCTTTCTTCCATTTTTTCCTTTTTCACATTTGGCATAGCAACTTCAGCACTTTTATCCAAACGCATAACTGCTTATTTTAAAAATAAATTTCAGCACTTTCAAAATTACTTTTTAAAGCTGCTTTTATTAAGCCCATCCAAACGGACCTTACACTATCTATAGATTATGTGTTTGACACTCTGGCAAATGCTCCTCTGGGTCATCTAGTTTACATTGTGTATATGTAAGGTATATTAATATACATACAACTTATACGATAAAAGTGCATAGATAGGACATACTTAGATAAACTAGATGGATATTTAATACGTAAGTTTCCCTATTAATAATACAATACTTACTTCTTTTTTCCTTTGAGCTTTTGACAAATAATACATGCACTCATTGTATTAACTATATGTAAAAAAAAATATCAGGGATATATTCAGTGAACGTAGATTTTGAACAACAAAAGGTGACAATATGGGGAATCTGCAACAAGTATGATGTGTTAGCCAGAGTTAGAAGCAAACGAAAGGCGGCTCGTTTTTGGAATGAAGAAGACAACATGGAAGAATCAGAAAGAGATTCATCATCAAGCTCACCAGCAGCTTCTCGTTATCGAATTAGGCCTAGGGCGCAACCTTTAGCTCTCATAAGGGCTCGATCTCTAAGCTTGAAATTAGCTTTAAAAAAGGCCTTCACAAGATCATATTCATTCTAATGAAAACATCAACCCCTCAATTATGAATGAGCCACATTGTAAATAGATGCCAATTTTGTTAATTGGCGATTAATTAAGTTTTCCTAGGTTCGCTTTTTGTGGCACAAATGAATATTAATCCCTATATGTTTTGTTTATTATGGCAATAGTTTTATGGAGTTTTAACATAAAAACTCAACTTCTATTTTTACTTTATCAATTAATGCTCCTAATTAAGCTACTACTAATCTCACTACCAAGAACAATCGTATGCTTTGTTATATGAAAATATGACTAAGATGGAGGATTCATGTGGAAATATATCGAATTACTTTTGTAACCCTGAGAAGATGCTTATATATAGAAGAGTAAATTAATGTATTTGTACTATGTTATGAACGTGTCTCTTATTTCTTAGTTGCTTAGAATTGTCTGGAACCTCCCTAGCTCCATTCTTCCTTGTTATATTTACTTCTTCCCTTGTAAGAATTTGTTGCTAGTTTGGAGTAATTATATCAATGAACTTTTATATTTGTATGTGTAATCCAAACTATCCATTTCAATACAATATGATTTCATTATATGCTTTCTATGGCGAGCATTATTATATATTTAGTTTTTGCTAATTTTTCAAGATATATATATAAACATGATTTTTTCAAAGTTAACGAGTGCTCATATGATTTTATCGTGATTCTGTATTTTAAATATGAGAGCTCAACTAAAACAATTAGTCTGTTAGGTGAGAGAGATCAGTGCACTAAAACTTTGGCTCAATAATTGAAATTTGATTCTTGAATCCCCGAAATTAAAATTTTGAATCCATTTAGGTGTATATAAGTAGCTACAAGTCAGTTGAAGATTTGATGTATTTTCACGCCTAGAATTGAAATACTATTCATTTGGCATGTGAGGTACGATAAATTAAATGTCATGTCATATTTCGTTTACAAATTAGAGATTAGAGATACCAATAATAATAATAATAATATACTTGTGACTTGCGAGGCCTTTCTTTTATTTGTCTAATAAAATAAAATGAGGCTTGTAAGTTTTCTAGTTAGGAATATGTCCGCATCGACTTTGCCATACAATGCATTTGCCGCCATTACTTGCGTTAACTACTCTTAGTCAAAGTAAAAGCATAAATACAACTAAGCACGTACATAGTTTTAGATAATTTATGTTTTGTATTTTAGATTATCTATTTGTCCTCTTTTTGAAAACTTTTTAATTTTTCATACACGTTATTATCTTATGTTTGACCCTTCACTTATTTTTGCCATTCTATTGTAGCTAGAAACTCAAAAATATAAAGTTGATTATATTAAATCAATAAATATATAATATGTGTTTAAATATAAACAATTGTCATTTGACCATCGTACATTAATATATATATACACACTCAGCACTCCAATTAATTGATGATTTATAGGAGTATATGGACCTCATATTTGTTGAGATCCTTGCTCTCCTTAGACGACCACGCAAGAGGTACGAATAATAGTAGATCATTATTCATTATAAATCAATAACAGTAGTAGTAGATCATAAAGGTACGATTCATGATTTGAAATAGAGTACTTATAATTTATTATTGTCAGACATATATTTTTAATAATGATAAGAATGACAATGAGACGGAACGATTAATGTCAGACATATATTTTTAATAATAATAAGGATGACAATGAGACGGAACGATCGTGAAGCAGAACACATTTAAATTCATATATGTGGGGTGAGTTTGAATCTATGCTGGTGCAACGGATTTATTCCTTTTTAAAAAAAAAATTATTTGCGGGTTTTAAGGCAGGTGGGCAAAATCTTCAATGCCTAAAGCTCACCGTTTCTTGTCAAATGACACCTCTTCTGCAATCTAACACATTCTTGAAGAATTTTTATTTTTCTTTAACATCGTAATGCTACTACGATTGTTTGTGACGAATTTTAATATTGTAGAAAATAATTGTAATCACAATAATTTTATTGATAAAATAATATGGATATACTCTAGTTCCTCACCAAGTAGGGATGGTAATAGAGCGGGGCGGGTGGGTTTAAGGCTATGTTGGGCAGGAGTTTTAAGGTTATGTGCGGCGGTTTTAAGTGAATTTTTTTAAAATTAATGTGGAGTGGGGCGGATTGCAGGTATATGTGATTTTATGCGTACTTAATTTTAACTTTTTACATGTTATAGAGGGATATAACATTATTTATTAAGATAATTTCATTAAACCTACTAAAAAGTTCAAGATAATAAATGAAAATGGTTAAATAAAAATAATGCAATTTCTTGCATGTGTCTCAATTGACCCCTAAAAAATAAAATTTTACGTCACTATCCTATTAAACTAATACAACTTAATGAAAAAATGAATAAATTTTTATGAATTTTATTTTAAGTATTAAATATAATTAGAAAAAGAAAATATTAAAAAATTATTCGGCAGGGGTTTATGCGGGGAGGGGTGAGAAGGGTTGAAAATGAAAAGTGTTGCTATGCGGGGCGAATTAAGCTCAACCTGCACCACCCGCGTCATACAGTGCCCCATTGCCATCCCTACCCCCAAGAGAGGTTTATTGTGTATTTCTTAAATTAATATGATTTGGAAACTAGCGTTTAGGATGGGATAGGAATTTTAACTAAAATTGCTAGTTCAAACGGACCCAACTCTGATACCATGTTAATTAAATTTTGAGTGTAGCTCACACCTCAAAAGAACTAGCTCAAAGAAAGGAGGACTGTTTAACCCTTGTAAAGAGTTCATCAATCAATATAAGACTTTTTTCATTGTTTAACAACATTTCTGTTATATCAAAGGAAAAGAGAATATATATTTTTTCTTGTAGGAGTATAACTTCGTAACCAGAAAATATTTGCGTGTATAATTCATATTTATATCCATTTGGCCGATATTGATCGTTTTCTTTTTTTAATTAAACGAAAACTGAGGACGTAGCATCGAGTTTCTAAATGAATAAGTCGTGACACATGACCTAATTAATCTGAGACGACTTTGTACCAAATTTGATTCCAAAAAAAAAAAGAAAAAAAAGTCACCTGCATTTCATTATTTATTAAACGTTGAACTTGAATTCAATCCAAACTAACCATACACATTATGGTATAACTTCCATCTTGAAAAAAAAAGTATTCGAACAATGAAAAATTTACCAATAAATTAATAGGCCTTTAACAATCTTGATTAAGAAAATTGACTACTCATATATTTTATTTCATTGCGTAGCTCATAAGCAACTAACGATAGTGACTGCAAACACTATTTAAGTCAACAAAACCACGCCTTAATTAATTAGACCCAATAATAGTAAGGATATTAGTTAAGTATAATATCTTGTATGCGTAAATTAATTTATCAAATTCAACAGAAAAATATAACGAAATTTTAAGTTTAACATTTTAGTTGTTGAATATTAAATGTAATAATAAGGTAAAAAGAATGACGAAAATCTCATATTTGCTGTCAATAAAAATTATCAAGGAATTTGAAATGAAAAATAGAAAATTAAAGAGAGGTAGAGAACTAAATATAAGTGAGTTAATTATTTTATCAACTAGGGCTTGACCGAGCAAAACTTTTTGTTTACTTTTTTATAGTTACAAAGTTTCCATCTTTGAATTTATTTCATCTTTTAAGAAGTTTTTCAATAATATCATTAAATTTTGTTGGAAATATTTATAGATTTTATAGTTGAGAAAGACTAGACTTGTATTATTATTAGTAGGTTCATCGAGTAGGTAACAATTGTTTGAAATCTCTTTATGTCTAGATGATGAGTTGTCATATTCATCATATAAATATAATCCACATTTCTCATGAGAATATATTTTTTAAATCTTTTATTTGACCTTATTTTCGTAGTTTTTATTTATAATATATAAGGATTTCTCTATATAAAATATATTTTTAATTATCATTATATATTCTCCTTCCTTTGCGGCGTAAAACGCTAATTATTTGTCTATTAAACAAAACCTAAATGATGAAGAAAGACCAAAGGTTTTTTTTAGCAAAAATAAAAATATAAAAACGATTATGACTAGTAGCTTCATGAAAGGTAAAACATGTGTAATTTTTAAAAATGAAAAAAAAACACTTAACACTTATTTCCAAGAATAAAGGAGTTTGATTAAGCTTTTGTTGAAGAATTTATTGGAGAAGAAACG